GCCCGTCCAAGTCGATGGTCTTCGCAGCTTGGATGAACGATTTTCGCCACGAATCAAATCCGTAGCTATGGCTGTTTCCGTCTAGAAGCGTGGCATTGACCGTCACTCTTTTCTGGTGGCTACTGCTGTAGCCGTCGAGGTATCCTCCATTTCCTCGAATCACGGGTATCTCACCTGGGGGGTTTAACCCCCTCGCTTCCCCGTAGTCCGGTCCTATGCCCGGGCCCACTCCGGCTGGTCCAACAGGGTTCGCTCCCGATCTGCTGGCCCAGCCGCCTTCCAGCAGCGACCGTGGTCCTTGCCCACTATCTCTCGTTTGCTGCTGGAGAAATCCCCCGCCACCGCCGAGCGGCAGCGTGGGCTCTTCTCGTTGGCCTCTGGGGGCAGCAACCCAGCCACCCCTACTGGCTGCATCCGCCACGACGCTGCCAGGCTCCTTCTTCTTCACCGACTCCTCCACCAGGGCCGCCAATTGCGAAATCTGCCGTTGCAAACTTGCAAGCTCTGCATCGCGCCCTCCTCCACCGGCGAGCGGATCTATTCTCCGCTCGCAGCAGTGGGCATCTCATCTCCGGCAGAGCTCATCCCGATGTGGCTTCCCTCGAGGGGCAAACTCTAGCGTGTTTGCGGCCTACGCCACTTATTTATCGGGTGAGACTGTTTTGGTGATGTATTAACTTCAACAGAGGTCGACGACCGTCCTTCACACGGACGAAAGAGGGAGTGCCCCACATGGGCAGCTCCCACACCAAGGAGGGGCCCCGCGACTCATCGCGGTGCCCCCTACCAAACGGCAATCTTACCAATCTGCATGGCACCAAAATCATACAGCACATGTATCCAACAACAATGTTCGCTGACCCACGGACACCACGCAACGTCGATCTCCTATCAATCACCACGAATTCGGCGGGGGCTCTATTGTTTCCTTGCATGTTCCGTCCCGCACAGCAGTATTGGCACTTTTCCCATACATTTCCGTTTACCCCTCCAAACCCACCCAACCCCCAAGTATTATTTGTGCCGAAACAGGATCCTCTGTTCTCCCACTTCTACCATTCACAAGTACTCGACGTAGTTTCTTACATGGTGCTTCATTGAACACATAAGACCAATCACCCACGCACCTTCCTCCTTCGCTGCCATACCCTGTTTCCACAGGGTGCGCTTCACAGACCAAGGAAAAAAGAAACATCACGTCGTCATGGTGGAGGAGACGAAGATATGCGAGCCGTGGGGGGAGAAGGAGCGACGGGAGGGCTTGGACTGGCCGTCTGCCATAAGTCCACGGGCAGAGGAAGTTCTAGCATGCATGCAATCCGAGCAGTGGCGAGACCTGATCGGGGACTATGAAGAGGCTCACAACCTGCGACTGCCCAAGGTACGTATGGCGAGCACCATCTTGTACTCCACTTATGTCGGGTATGATGGAGGACATGTTCCCTCCGTGCGACCTTTGGTACAGTCTGTGTCGTGAACGGCTCCAAACGACCTGACTGTTCTGTCTTGGAAGAAAGTTGTCTGCTGCCATGAAGAGAAGGTTGGTCTAACAAAGTGCGAATGGTAATGTATTGGGCGAACGCCTTTTGAAACCCTGTCAGACGTCGAACAAACACTAAAACAGCCACCATGAACGAAAGCTAACCGCGTGGCATGGCCGACCTGGTGTTCAGAACTGTTCGTGCAGTGGTCGATACATGACGTGGGAATCCCCTAAACATGAACCGCCTGAATGAGTGACCGTTTCACGACCGCCAATGTCCGACGGTGCTACACTCGGTCATCTACGCCTGCAAGACTGATCAATCACTGGCGCCGACTCTCCAAGAAACATCTTCCTCGTGGCCCGACGGCGATGTCTGAAGCGTACGGTATGACCGTGCGCGGGAAGATTGAGAGCTCATCACCTTCGTCCCCTCACGCCATGTCACCGATTCGTTCCCGCTCGTCGCCAAAATCAACCAACGCTCCACGGAAACCTTCGCTTCACTCACACCGGCGCACACAGGCCATCGGCCGCAGCGAACAGAGCCACGCCGGCAAGGAAGCACGCAAGGTGTCGGCCGTCTCCAAGAAGTCAACGCCGTCGAGGTCTAGAAAGAGCTGGTCACCTCGTTCTCGAGCCAGGCGATCGACGTCGCCCAGCCAGCGCCGCTCCATCGGCAGGTCCCTCTCTCCCGAGCCCAAGGTGAGTGTTCAGGAGATCGTGGTCGGTTTTGGCCTCGAGTCTTGCGTGTTGGGATTTGTGGGGGGGGGGGTGACGATGGGGAGTAAAACTGTCCGTCACGTGGTGGTTGCTGCGTTTCTTGCTGAACTGCTGCTGCTATTGTTGATGTTGTTGTTGTTGATATTGTCGCTGTTGTCGTTGTCGTCGTGATAATACAATGGCATTTGTCGTCGTCGTAAAGGCAGCAGTGACCTTCGTGTCTACTCCACACACCCACACCGCTCCAAAAGGGTGAAACCATTCACCCACGATGGCGAAAGGCTCTATAAGCATCCAGAGCATCCAGTTGCTCTAATTGTGCCCACACATGACGAAACCATTAACTGCTTCAGCCGAAATTTTTCCTTGTGCTTTCCGCGTGGCTCGTACACGTGCGCTGTCTGTCTGTCTGTCTGTCTGTCTCTCTCCCTGTCTCTCTCTCTCTCTCTCTCTCTCTCTCTCTCTCTCTCTCTCTCTTTCCTTCTGCCTCCTTCTGTTAACTTTTACTTCATAGGGCACGGCAGGAGAGACGGGCCAGCAGGACCGCGATGAGGACGAAGAGGCCTACGAGGTCAACAAGGGAGGAGGGGAAGTGGGAGTCAGGAACGACTCGCCGTCGTCGTCGTCGTCGTCGTCGTCGTCGTCGTCGTCGTCGTCGGAGGAGGAGGAGGAGGTGATCGGCGGTGGACACAAGGGCGAGGAGGAAGGGCAACAGGATGACCACGTGGACAGGGCGACGCTGCAGGAGGGGTTTATCTTCGCGGAGGCCGGGACACTGGTGGAACCGGCCGAGCTCATGCCAACGGTAGGTTATTACCGCTGACGGAGGTTGTTGTACTATCAAGCGCTTGTGGTGGTTATTGTGGTGCTTGGTGACCAACCTTCTTCCCCGCTTCAGAAAGGAGCGTGCTTTCCCAGGTATGCTTATTTCAATCGCTTCCCGGCCTTTCATGCCAACGGTTCTACCTCACCACTGCCTTGCTTGTACTAGGACCTGGGCCTGGCGACGGAGGGCAACGCGACGGCCGAGATCGAAGGCGAGCAGGACGCCGCTGCCGGGGCCTCGTCTCCCTTGACGGCGGCGTCGGTGGTGGCTCGCAGTTCCTCTCAGACCCGCCAGCTGCTGCTGCTGCTGCCACCCACACCGCCGAGGGTGCGGGTGCCGGTGCCGACCGCCCGGTGCCTGCGCATGCTGCTCAGCGTGCTGAAGCACAAGCCTACGGGGGTGGTTCAGGAGGTCGGCGTACTGCTCATGCTGCATGCCGCGGCCATCGAGGTGGCGAAGCCGACCCCTACATCTGCCGACGGGGCCGCTGGCCACCCCAACGAGACCCCGTCCGCACTGGTCCCTGCCAAGGGTGATGTCGGTGCCGGGACGGCGAGGGCGAGACACCAGGTCAAGCAGCGCGAAGAGAGCGCGAAGATGAAGCGGAGGGTCGACGAGGCGGCCGCGGTGCTGGCCACCGCCGTAAAGACGAGCGGCATGCGGACGCTGCAGGGTGCGGGCGTAGCAGTCATCGCCAAGAAGGGCAGCCACAAGACGCGCTTCCGGCACCAGCTGCGGCAGCCTCCGAACGTCGAGGATGGCCTCCAGGCGTGGGCCGCAACGCGAGGCCGGGAGGTGTTCGGGCTGAGGGAACTCCTTGGTCTGTCGGCAGGGGAGCCGCCGATCGTCCAGCCGGCGCCAGCGCATGCCCAGCTAGTGCGCGACCGCGTCGCCCGCATTTCCGCCGGGAAGGTGAAAAAGGTGAGAACGAGCCCATTATCACCGCGCCGAGTGCACGAAGTTCAGCCGCAACGCGAAGGGACAACTTATTTTCGACACCAGCACCTTAAACCTCGATTACGCCGTGAGCGGAATGTGACCCCTTTGAAACGCCCCAAAGCAGTCCTCTCGGTACGGCGAGAGAGTAAAACTAACTGTTTTCGAAGAATCGTGAGAAAAAATTCTGTTCCGGATGTGCATGCTCCGTCCTCGGTCCTGTCCAACCAACACAGGCCCTACCGGAAGCTGGCCATGTTTTGGAGTTCATCTCCTACGCTGCGGGCGCCGTCGTCGGGGTGATGACCACCGCTGGCGATTCGAATGAAGCGGATGCACTGGTCGACCTCGACAGGTAAGCTGGGTTTTGGTGAAGCGATCTGGGGGGAGGGGAGGGTATTTGTGAAGCTGTACTACAACACGAGTTTGTTTCAACTTGAAAGGGGTCCGCAGCGATTATAGCTTGTTCCAGCTTGGATGGTGTCTACAGGGGCTACAGCGAAAACAAGCATGGCCAACATCATTGACAGGAGAATATCTAGCAGTCAAAAAGTTGAAATCAGTTCATCGAGTAGGGGGTTGATATCGAGAAAGCTACACTCACGTAACGCGCGGCGAACGTCGTTTTTTTAACGATTCCGAAATGCCCCCTCTCGCCGGTGCGCGGCCCTCACTACGCGCACCGCGACCAGGCCCTCCACCGCCGGTGGCGGCAACCTCTTGACCGGTGGTAAGGGCGAGTCCTCGGTGGCAGGCGCATCTCTCGGCACATCTTCGAGCGACCCTAAGATCTGGGCGTCGACGACCTCGGGCTCGGACGCCGTCGTCGCTGCCGGCGACCTCGCGAACGGCGGCGGTAGGGACGGGTCCCCGGCGGCTGGTGCATCTCTCAGCGCGTCTTCAAGCGACCCTAAGATCTGGGCGTCGACGACCTCGGACTCCGAGGACTCCGCCGCCGTCAGTGCCGGCAACATCGAAGGCGATGGCAAGAACGAATTCTCGGTGGCACCCGCATCTCTCAGCGCGTCTTCGAGCGACCCTAAGATCTGGGAGTCGACGACCTCGGACTCGGAGGACGCCGCCGCCGTCAGTGCCGGCAACATTGAGGGCGATGGTAAGGATGGGTCCCCGGCGGCAGGTGCATCTCTCAGCGCGTCTTCGAGCGAACCTAAGATCTGGGCGTCGACGACCTCGGACTCGGAGCAGTGCGCCGACTTCACGCCAGGATCCCTCTCTGCTGAAGACCCTGTCGCCTGGAAGCCATCGATGTCAGGCCCCGCGCAACGCATTGAGGGTTCACCCCGCAGCCTTGCCAGCCATGACACCGCGGCTGAAATCGGCTCGACCCAGGGCTCACGCACCACCTCAGCTACCTGTGGGGGCGGTGACGGCGGTGCTGCGCTTACTGTGCCGGAGGCACCGGCCTTCGACTTGGGGCGGGATGTCACGGACAGCTGCTTGGGTCTCCGGGGGAAACAGGACGCAGATGCCTCACCTCTGGTCAGCCCGGCCTCAAGCCGCGACGATACCGCCGTAGCCGCCGCCGGTGCCTCCGCAGGAGGTGCGCTGGTTGCGGTGCCGGGGGAGACAACTTCCTTCGTTGTTTCTTCCTTCTCCGATGACGCGGTGACTGCTCCCGCCACGCGGGAGGCGTCAGGTGGTTCGAGGCAGCTCGCAGGCCCGCGGCAGCCGCTTTTTACCCTCGCCGAAAGTGACGACGAGGATTTCCCTAGCTCTGCATCTTCAGACAACCTGGTCGTGGTCGTCTGGAAGAGGCCGAAGTCCCTCGACGACTCTTTCGAGCCACAGAAGCCTCGCACCAATGCCAGCGGAGCTGATGCTGCTGATGCTCTTGTTGCAGCGGAGACCGTGAAGGAAGACTCGCAGAACGGGGAGATGTGGACCGTGGACCCGCTCGGGGACATAATGGGTGACATACCGTGAGTACATCGGACATGCGTTGCGCACATTCTGTCTCTCGCTAGCTTGGGGTCTGATTTCTTCGCTCTTCGTGATATCTTGTGTATCTCGCGTTTCCATCATGTCTGAGCAATGGCTTGCACCTTGCCACGCTCGTCTAATAGTCTAATTTCACGTTGTGACCCCCCACCACCCACCGCCCACGCCCTTCCGCGCTCCTTGCCGTCCCGCCGTATTCTGCGCTCGGTGCGGTGTGTCAACCATCCTACAATCGCGTGTGCGGCGACGGCGACAACCACACGACGGCACGAATCAATCATCGGCAACCCGGCAACCCCTCAAAAAAGGTTGGTGACGGAGGACGGCGAGCGCAACGCCTGGGACGACATCCTCGAGGAGCAACTGTCCAAGTGCAGGCCCCTGCAGGACCACACCGACCGTTCCGCAGCCCCGCCGTTGATCACCCAGAGGTCCTACCCTGACAGAAACAACGGCGGCAGCCCGATCATCGCCACCGCGAGAGACGGGTCGACAGGCTACACACACGATGGTGAGGAGAACGTGGTTTTAGGGAGGAAGAACGAGATCTCAGGCCGGCCGGCTGGCCTGCGTGCACGTGTTCGAAACGAAGCGGGGGATGAGGAACAAGAGGGCATGATGCCCGGCGGCTATATCGGAGACGATGATGATGCGGCCTCTATCTATATATCTTACTCCTCTTCTTCTTCGCTAGGATACGGGTTGAGCGACCACAACAGCATCGACGCCGATTCTTGCTCTTGGCTGGTGGGTGGTATACCGACGCCGGAGCAGCAGCAGCAGCAGCGGCAGCAGCAGCAGCAGCGGCAGCAGCAGCCGAGGCAGCCGAGGCAGTCGAGGCCGATGTCGTGGTCGCTGGCTTCTCACTACGCTATCTTCCTGGACACGACGTGCCGGTCCATGCGCAGCAGCCTACAGGACGAAGACCTCGGAGACTCAGAGGCGGCCGTACGCGAAGCGGTGGGTGTCGCGGAACTGGCAGCGTGCGAGGCACGACAGGCGGTGGCGACGGCTGTAGACCTGCTAGACAAGCACCGAGCGCAGCAGGAGTCTCGCAGTTTCACCAGCAGCAGCAACAGCCCGCAACAACCGCCGCAATTGGCACCAGCATCCTCCGACATCGACCCGTCCTCCCAGCTGCACCGGCGAGAGAGCCAGGCTTGGGAGGACAACCACGGCCACCGCAGGTGGGAGGAGCCCGACCCGGCCAACACCAGTTTCGTCGCGGAGGCTCCACAGCAAAGGTCGACGCCGCCCGGCGGCACCTTTCGACCGCTCGAGCTTAGTCCATCGGGTGCCCCCGTCACCGGTGGCAGGGTTAGGGCGATGCTCAGGGCCCGCGTCAAGGGTCGTTCGCAAGACGCCGAGTTGTCGGGTGTGCTGGAGCAGCGGGGGTTGGACAACGGGACACAGGGACACGACGCTGTGGGAGAGAACGGTGAGTGGCTTGTTAATACGTTTCTTCCTTTCAGTCGTTTGCGCACGTATTATCTTCTCTTGGCCGAAAGCGAATTATTCCGTGTGGTTAAATCTTAGAAGTATCAGGGAATCGAATCACGGTTGAAGTTTGACTTGATAGATTGAAGCGTGGGATCATTTGGATTGTGCCCATATTCACCCAATCAAAACAAACATGCTCGATGACTGTTCTGGTTTTGAAATATTATCTGAAACTTTCCAGCATGGAGTCTAATTTCTACGGTATCGAAATAAGTCTCCAGTCTCTGAAACCACGATACACACATATAACGCTTCGGGCGGCACTTTCCTCTACAATCGTGGTGCATTGGTGGCGCAACACTACTCACCGTCTTCCATACTGGACGAACACCCTAACCGCGACTTTCCCGCAAACCGCATTCCGCAGGATCCAAGGGTGGCTCGCCGACCGGAGGGTACGACAACCTGGACATCTACGGGGCCGAAGCAACCGCGGGTGCAACGAGGGAGGTCGACGCGGAGGCTGCCGAGCGAGCCGCCTCCGCGGCAGAAGCGTACGAGCAAAGGATGAGAACAGGACGCGGCGGCCATGCTTCCGACGAGTGGCTGGAGGCGAGATCGTCGGCGATCGCGGCGCGATCGATCGCGAGGGTGGCGGCGGCCACGGCCGCGCGGGCCACCGAGTTGAAAGCAGCATCGGCGCCAGCAGCAGCGCAGCAGGGTGGTGCCGGTGGTGGTGATCACCACGACCTTCACTTGCCGCAGCGTGAAGAAGACCAGTGGGAACAAGCATCGGATCGACGATCGTGCCGAGACGAATCCGACGGCGACGAATTCATCGAGCAGGGGAACGACCTGCCGTCGCTAAGCGCCTTCAACAGGGTCGACGTCAACGTCGCCGACTGGGACTGGTCGTCGGTCGGAGGTGGTGAGAAAATTTCCGACGTCGGACGAAGCGCAGGCTTCTTGGCGGGTGAGCGAGGAGAAACGGGACGCGGTGCCGAGTATCTGGGAGAGAGCTCGGCAAAGAGAGCGACGGGTTTCGGTACGGCCACAACCCTTCGGTGAGAGTCAATGTGTTTCGGCGTCGTCGGTGTGATATTGTAGTCAGTCAATCCCAGCGCTGAAGGACACTAGACGCGCGAATAACGCCATGTGCCGAGCCTTGATCCCTGCAAGACTGCTTCAAGGGTGTTCGTCGTTGCATTGCCCGAGATGATGTAGAACAACAATATCGGAACCACGTCTATCAACCGAACGTGCTATTGGATTCACGTTTGCAATGCACCGCTCCCCCCACTCGAAACGTCAGGTGTGGTAAGGCGTGGGGTTCGATCGCGTGCGAGTCCAACCTCTCCGTCCAATGGCACGTGGAGAAAAGAAAGGGCAACATGGGAGGATCCCTGGCCCAGCTCTGCGAAAAAAACGAGCGCAAGAAGAGGAGAAGGGCGCAGAGACGCCGCCAGCCGGAGGTGGAGGGTGAGTACAGGTTGGGTCGGCAGCTACCACAACCAAAATGCAGAACAACCGTCTCAGCACAAAGACTAGCGTAGAAACAGATAATTGAACGGAAGACATCAGCCTGGTCTGGCCGAGACAAGGCTCATCCAAGTATGAAGAGGAGGGATCGATGGCCCAAGATTCATAGACGCAAGGTACCTCATAGGTGGAGCAGGGTCGTATCCGCGATCAGTCATACCCCACACACATGCTCGCAAGGACCAGATATAGGACAAGTAATTGGAGCTTCGGTTACACGCTTAATAGCAGCATTCCGCCTGTTCCCCACGCCCCTCTTGCGCGAAAACAGAGAACAGGAGGCTTAAGTTCGAGGCGCGACAGCGGAGCGGGGGCCTCAGTCCCCGCGCGGGCCTGGTGGGCGACGGCTGGAAGTACCCCAGCACCACGTCGTCCTCCTCGGCATCATCATCATCATCGCTGACGCCGCCGTCGCTGTCGGCATCATCGCTGGCGGCGTGCCCTTCGTTCTCCTCTTCGTCGTCAACGGTGACGACGTCGAAGTGGTCGTGCCAGCTCGCCAACAAACAGCATCGGCACCAGCAGGAGGAGCAGGAAGAGGAGAATGAGGAGAAGAAAGGCGGGGAGACGAACGAGCGCTCGCTGCTGGGAGGGGCGGGAAGCGCCTTGTCGGCCTCCGGTACCGAGTCAGTCCAGACTCCCCCGCTCACGCCTGCCGCCTTGGCGCAGGCGTCGTACCGGCTGAGCGACCAGCACGCCGACATGACGCAGCGCTGGCCGGCAGCACTCCTCGTCACCTCCAAGTCCCTCATCGCGGACGTTCCGGGGTGAGTGGTGGGTGGTGGGTGGTGGTTGCAGTGTTAATTTAGAGTGTTTTTCCCCAGTTCCTCTCGCGGCTTTTGCTCCGTTCTTAACGGTGGCGTGGAGCTCACTACCATGAATCGTCGCCTTGCGTGTTGATGCCAGCAAAACGGCACATGAAACATATTGCTGACTGCCGTTTTCAACGTTGTAGGTCCCGTTTTACGCAACTGCGGTTGTCGCAATATCTGGTTCTCCGTCCCTTGGTGGAGATGTCGGTGGAGGCGTTCATGACGATTTCTCCGTTGAGATAAGGGGGAGAGTCCCATCTCTAGAGAATGAGCTGGAAGATGGCAATCGTTATTCTTTCCTGTTTCCGCCCTAACCTGATCCTCGCCCAGGCTGGAGGAGTACGGACGACGGTCGTTCGAAGAGGCCCTCGAGCAGTCAGTTCGTCGGGGGTTGATGGGCCGCCCCCGCTGGCCCGAGACACCACGCTAGACAGGATTCGCGCCCTGCTTGACGGATGACGAGTCGGTCGGCGGGGTTTCTCCTCGCTCGATCTACACGCAGACCGCCAAGGCTGACGAGGATTCAAATAGGGGCGGCGCACAGTCCTTGTTCGGAGTTGCGATACAACCCGACTGTGTTCTGTGGTGATTTTTCTTTTTCGAGCGGAGAGGTGGAAGGTTGGGTCGGGGCGAGCACACGCGTGCTGCGCGAGAAGGGGTGGGAGAGGCGTTCTCGTTTTGGGGTCCAGCACCCACGACTATTGGGCTCAACGTGCCACGCCGGAGTGTGTCTTTTCTTTTCCCGTTACTGGGGTTTACGAGGGATACGCTGCGCGGGACATTTCCACTTGTAATATGAGTAGTTTTGGGGAGGGTGGGGCACTGGGGAGTGCAGACTGGGCAGTTGTCATAGGGGCTATGCCGAAGGTCACGGGGGCACGGCAGTACCGTCGGACAAAATGGCTGATCGGAGGCCGACCGAGAAGCGGTAGCAGTGTTGGACGGAGAGGAGGAGCAGGAGGAGGTTGTGGAGGCGGCGGGGAGGCGTAAGGGTGGGAGGGTAACCGGGCGTGCAGTAAGGTTAGATGTATGGTGTGAGCGATGGCAGATGCGGCGAAGCCGGCTGGCGTGCCGCTTGCCGGCACAATGGTGAAGGCGGACGAGGAACAGGGGGGGATTTGTGGAGGGGGCGGGGAGGCGGGGGGCGAAGAAAACGTGATCGTTGTTCAGAATCACCGCATGGGAGCCGGCGGATGGGATGGATACCGGTGAGCAACGGTGCCTTTTCACTTGTCTTTCGACAACATCCTTCTTGGTTAAGTACGCAGCGAGACATGACATGGTGTGAATACGAGTATGAAACACGAGCACACGGGCGAGTAATTATTAGAACATCGAAACGGGTCGCAGCAAGTTGACTGAACGAGCACGGAGAACAACCCACCTTCCACGAACCCGGCGGGAGCAAGCATTCAAAGGGTGTTTGTGCGCTGGCCTTTGTTTTTTCCCTCTGTCTGGTGAGAACCTTGTTTTTCACTACTCCACGCAATGCTCCTCCACATACCATAGGTTTCTCCTTCAGCCTCCCCCCCCCCACGTTGTTATGTCCAACGCGTGGCTGTCACGGCCCGGTCCGAAAAAAACTACGCTAATACAACGCCTACATTCTCTTCATTGATACGATTCGCATGCCAACATCATATTACCATTCATCGAACAATTCAATCGCCCTCATGCGCCTCCATCTTTCGCTGTCGCCCCGCTTTTCTTCCCACAGGGCGCATTGCGAACTCACGAAAAAAATGCAAAGACATGGACGATTGATGCTTCGCCCTCGGAGCACGTCGTAACGGTGGGGGAGACGAAGATCAGCGAGCAGCTAGGTGGGGAAGATCACTTGGACCGGCCGTCGTTCACAACGCCCTTACCAGCAGAAGAAGTTCAAGCATGCCTGCACGACGAACAGCTGCTAGAGCCGACTATGAAGGGACTGAGCATGTGCGTCTACACAAGGTATTGGGAACTCAAGTCCGCTCTCTTCTCGTGTATGTCGCTCTCTTCTCGTGCATGCATCGCAAAAGAGGATTCTGAGAAGTTTGGGTGTGGTAACCACAGTGATATTGATGATGACCTTGCCTATCATACATCGTCGTTACACCCATTCCAAGGCCTGACCAGACGAAACTTTCAGGTGAAACAAGGATCGAAGCTGTTTGGTAAGTGGTCATGGCGGAAGAAGTGCGAAACAAGGATCGAACGCACTTCAAAATCCGTCACATACTGTTGAGCAGCCCCCACAAAAATCCCGACATGTCAACTACCAAATGATATCAAATTTGTCACAACCAAGCCTTGCTCGGAGCAAGTGATGAGATTATGGAAACATGACACGGGCATTCCCCGAAGATAACCACTGGAACGAATGACCCCTTGGCACGACCACTCTTGTACGGCGATGCCACACGCGATCATCTACGCTAAACAAGGATGGAGCACTCACTGCTCTCCACTCCCTGTGCTTCTCCTCCTCCCCCCCCCCTCGACGGCACCGTATGTCAGAAGCCTACGTTCTACGGCCAGGCACGTGGAGCTTGAGTGCTCTCTACCTTTGTCTCCTGACGCCAAGTTACCATATTCGTCCCCGCTTGCCCTCACCTCGTCGCCACCCAATCGACAATTCACGAAACCTTCGCTTCACATTTTCCGATGTAGAACAGATGATGGGCAGCAACGACGACGCCCGCGAGGAAGAAGACGGGACGCCGACACCTTCCAAGCTATTAACCTCCCATGGTCCGTAATGCGCAAATATACCTTCGGATTGGACTGATTAGGGTACTTCCTGTCCCTTGATGTGACCTTGCGAAACTAGCGTTCCGTGCTCTCCAATATATCTATTGTCTTACCTAGCCCAGGGCTCGCTCCAGCGGCCGTAAAGCGCTTCCTCCCAACCATTAGCATTGCGTTCGGGGGGCACACCCGGTTCCTAATGCCAGTTGGACCTTGTTGTACTCCCATTTCCCTCCCATCCCCCCTCTTGGCGGGGTTTCTTTTGCTTCCGAAAGGTGTTCGACGTGGCAGCGCCCGACGACTTCATGCTGAACTACGCGCACGGCCTTTCGGCGACCATATCTGATTTGCGGGTACATATGTGTTCGTGGTTTGCGCTGGAAACGTTTCCAGCATTGGAGTACTTGCACATGAACATGTCCGGATTTTTCCGAGGTCGCGCTTCCCATACGGGGAGCATACGAGTTGTCACGTTGTCTCAAAGTGAGCGGTAGCTTCGTACGGAGCGGTATGTAGATCACGTGTCCATACCGATTCACCATGTCGTCTGCTTCCGTGGCTCATTCTCGCTCCCCTCTTCACCGCGGGTACGTGCATTACAACAGCCGGACGCGCAAGTTGGAATCGTCTGGATCACGCCCTCCTTGCTTCTGTGACTCCGACAACGGGCATCCACCATCTTCGCTAGCAATGGAACCTCTTGCTTGTCGGTTCCATTTTCGGCTTTCCGGTGAGTTTTTGGAGAAGTCTCTGATGCTGTTGTTGTTGTTGTTTGTCTTCACATTAAACCGTATGTCAGTTGCTAAATGCCAAAATCTAGCAAAAGACTCTCAGCCCGTGGTCACGAAAGTGCTAGAGCCATCTGAGGATCTAAAGAACACGCACACATCTGACGAGAAAAAGGTATGCAAGAGCCCGAAGAGGTACACCTAAAAATCCCTGCAGCACCGTATGCGTGCCCAAAAACTGAACTGCACGTCCGTCCCACCGTTCGACTACAGTAGCATCACCCCCTCCCTGTCCCACTCTATACCAAAACGGAAGATTGCCGACTACAGCATAATGCTGTCTGAAGTGCTGTCTGTACAAAAACACCATGGTAGGCATGGAACAAGCAGCTGGCGGGGCACAAAGCTGCTGTCTGAAGTGCTGTCAGAATGTGTCTGCGGCCGTACAGTGAAAAAGAACAACCAACCAAAGCCATCATAGCAGCAATTGACAATCACCCGAATCTCTCCCGATCGTCTGTGTTAGGCACTGCAGTGAAAAATATCGACACTAGCTAAGAATCGTTCCACATTGAAGGGGTCTTCCACGATCAGGCACATAACCAAGGCACCCGGGTTAGCCACGCCATCTCTGACGGGTCTCTCTACAAAACCGGTGACGACGTCATCACATAGAACCAACACCGAAAATCAGGAAAAAAACGAGAAAAATTGACAACACAGATCAGACACAAATGTTTGTCCGTGCGCCACGGGTCGATGTCGCCCGCATGCTCCGGTGCCGCTGCTCCGTCCGGCGCCGCTGTAGTCAGCCCGAGCATAACGCCACTCGACCTGCTCCGTCCGTACACGCTCTCGTTGCTGTCCTTCCCAGTCGGTTCCTCGCTTTCTCCCTCGTTGCACTCAAGGTTCTTGGTCTGAAAAATAAAAATTCTCGCGCCGAAGGGGTCAACCAGCCCAGTTCAGCTCGTCGCCACCTGCTCCCTCCTCCTTTGATGGCGAAGCCAGGTTACTGAGGCAATGCAGCGCCCTCTAGCCAACCTAGGGCCGTGTACATAGTTCCCGTCCACCTTCTGACGGTGTCTGCCTCCGCGCACAAAAAATGAGATGGGCATCGCTGCCTACGCCGACGGCCAGAGGCCCGCGCATCTACATTTTTTCGCCTGACCCCATCAGTGCCGACCCAACTACACCACCACGCGCATGCCTCGCGGCGGATATGCGCAGCAGCAAGAAGGTTTCGGTCATCCCTTGAGGGTGAGTCTAGCCCTGCTCGCCAGAAAGACCCCCCCCTTCGCTACAACCCATGTCTAAGCAAAAGCTTGTCGAGGAGCGAGGGGAAGAAGGGAGAGTACAATACACAAAAGTAATGTTTGCTTGAAGCCTCTGCTTGCCTCTTGGGCAGGTGCCATACATCATCAGTCGATTCAGTGTTATGCATACCTAATGTTTCTCGATGCTGGTGCTACATCTTCTGCCAATTTCTCACAATCAGCAAGTTGACGAGGGTCCGTTTTTTTTCTCCATGANCCCCCCCCCCTGAATGTCGCGTTTCTTGACGCAGTTCATCGAGAAGATCGGAAAGAAGCTCAGATTGATCACATCGTGCGCCGCTGGGATCACCCTGCAAGACTCGATGGCCCGTGTGCCCGGCGACGACAACATGCGGCACGTGAGAGTCGAAACTAGCGTCGCTGTCTGCGTATCGAGCATTCAGCAGTTGCGATGAAGATATCCGAAAATTCAGTGCCCTCCTATGGCGGCAATAGGGGTGGTATTGCTTCGACATACATGTATTGGTTGTTCAACACGAAGGACCTGCTTTGACTCCCCCCATTCCTCTCGGTGTTTTCCCGTCATGACCCCCGCTTCTCCTGGACATAGGGTCCTCGAATGCCTTTTTGCCCCGCCGGATGTCCCTGAGCGAATCTTCACCCGCCAGCGAGACCCACGGTTTCCCCATGGCCAGCTGGTCCTGCATCTTCTCCGTGACGGCACTGTGTGCCGCGATAGGCGGCTTCCGACTGTTTCTTACCCTCGCCAACCGCGTGTCACTGCCACCCAACCTTGACGAGAAGGGTTTCGTCTTCGGGGGGTCCAATGCCTGTTCGACAAGCAGAACAAGACAAGGCATACCCGTACCTTTAGATTGTTGATTTCTTTCGGCTGAGGTAGCTAGGAATAGGTTTGGTGGGTGCTTCGCCACGTCCTCTGAACAATGCATCGCATGCGGAAGAACCAGATGGCGAACTGTAGTGCCCTCACGTGTGGTGGTTTTTGCCCATACTGGTTGTGCGTGTGCCGTGTGCGGGTGCCTCGTTTTCCGGGCGAATCACCAAACCGTTGTACTCACCTCCTGTTTGCCTCCCGTATAGTCCGTACTCGGGTTCATTTTGTTGCCCATCTCCAAGAAGTATGATTGTCGTCGTTATTTTTCCAGTTTTGGCACTCGAAGCTTGAGGGCGGGACCGGATCATCCGAACTCGTGCTGTTACTAATGTAAGATAACGTATTGTACGATGGAAGGAAAAATCACTGCAGGAGAGCTGTGAAGTCGCTATAACTGTTGTATCTCATGGATTTGGTACCTTTTACTGGTTAACCCTTCCACAGATGTGGAACGAAGACATGTACCATACTCTGTCCTTGCTGCCTATCCTAGAATAAGCGTCCTTCCAAAGGAACGAAAATAACAGTATTGGTGGAAATTTTTTTCGTGTCATCCGCGTGGGGGTGAGTTGTGTGTCAGACCAATCGGGTAGACTGTATTTCGTTTTCAGTTTCTCGGTTAGCGTTCAAGAGGTTGCGGCGACAGGAACAATTCAGTTCCAGCTTGTACCTCGCATTGACTCTTGGCACTCAAGGTGTGTGGTGGAGGCGTGTCCGCCCGCTCTCCTCCCTGGGTAATGATATGTTTTTGCCAAGACGCAGAGGGGGTCATGTGATGCTTGCGCGCATTGGTGTTGAAGAGGTACTCGGTAGTAGATGTTCTGCCGGCATTCGCGATGTTGTTGCAGCTTGTCCCCCCGGCGGACAGTGAAAGAAGAACGGAGGCATCGAAGCTGTCGCGAAACGCATTCCAGGAACACTATCGTTCCCAGAAAAAAACTGGGTACAAATCTAAATTTGGCAACTTTTCATTGAAGCGTCGCCAATACTGACTGGATCATAACTCACTGGGAGCATATACTCACTGGGAGCCACCACACACAGCTGGAAACGTTGTTTACCTGGTTGCACGGAGATGATCTAGTTGCCTCCACCCTCTGTGCTCGTCTGCAACCTGTGCCCGGTGACACTTGAGTTGTGGCTAGCTCCTAATGGTCCCGATATTTCCTCTCCGGGCTTCTGCTTGTTCAACCTCTCCCAAGCTAAACTACCAATCGTTCTAGGTACTATTTGTGATGCCATGGAACCCCATGGAATACTGCAAGAAATGCCATGGGGGCCCAGTGTGTATGTATCCAACTTACCAGGGTCAATAAAAATAGTTTCGCCGAAGGAACAACTTGCGCCTAGAGAAACAGGCGAAGAAAACGGGTACAAGCACAAGCAAGCATTCATGTGGTCGAGGAGCAGTATCACTGTGTCGAGCTCATGTTACCCCGAACGACCGCCCAAGGATACACCTACTGAGATCGTATGGTCCGATAGGTCGTTCGTCGCTTGGACAAAATATTTTATACTGCCCGCCTTCAATCAGAAACAAAAATGTTCGTTCGTGGGAACACGCAACTATTTGCAGCTGCAGATGGGTTGAACACTTATTAGTCTCGTTCCGCCCACCCAGTACGATTGCGCAGTTATCGGCATATCGCGCGCGGTGTCTGGGGCACAGGGAGTTTGGCTTTCGTTTTTTCGTAGGGTCGGGGGTGACGGGTGGGTTCCCCTTGCACATACGGTGGAGGGAAATCCATTCTTCTTCTTGGCACTGTTGTAGAGCAAATCTCACTGACAGTAGGGAGTCATGGGGTTGGTTCCACAGAAACACACGTATGTATTCGACCTGTAGTTATCGATTGTGAAGCCGCGAACAAGTTTCCACCTAGTCTAGTCATTATAGATATTTTTGCCTTATCCAAGCTCGCCGTCGTACCGCAGCATCTTGAACAACCTGCAATAATGTACGCCACAACAGATTGCGGAGTAATACTACTGCTCTGCTGTAGTACAGTAGAAGAGCGTTCATGATTTCAACGAAAGGAGGTTGCAAGGGCCACCACGTGTTGCGCCGCCGATCTTGCGCCATTTCGCTCATGGCCAGCGTTCTCCCAACGCATGCCTTCCCTGTAAAGATAGTCTAATCACGTTGAGGAGATGCATATTTTGCCTTTGGGAATGACATTTATTTGGAGATTTCGTCTCTGTTTGGTAGTACGTGTGCTCGGATGATCGTCGTTCGTTGTGAACACCGTGATTATTATGCTGTTCAGATGGCGCGTTTTTCCCTTCGAATGGAAGTCGTGGCGGCTCTGGCAGCAACATCCACGGCAGTTCGCGTGGCTGCACGACCCGCCCTGTTACACCTCGGAAGATATCACGGGTCCGTCTGTGTTCTCCAAACCTTCGTACACGAACGAATAAAAATTATCGTAGAGTTACTCAGCCCCTTGGACTCGACGCATACTTCATCAGAACAACAACAACAATGAGGTACAAGCTCGCATTGCGCGGGCGTCAAGGCGCCGAAAACAGGCGAACGAGATCGACCTCGGACCAGTCAACGCCAATGATATGGGGATGGAGTGTAGACGCATCGTAGAACGCGTTTTCGTTTGAAGTTGGCGTCTTGTTTGAGATGTGACAGATTTGCGTAGAATAGGGTAAGATGTTATCATGAACGGAGATGAAAGGGCTTTTCCAACACGGAGATGTAGCATGGATCAAAGCATTTGTTGGATTTCAGCTTTTACAAGCGGACATCAACGCAGTAGTATTTTAGCAAGCTTACGAACGCATATAGGATACCATCAGGATTGTCATTGGTAAGTTGAAGAGGAGATACTTGTACGATGTAAATGACAGTAGAAATAAGTCCTACATGTTGTTGTACTTCTTATTGGTTTAATATTCATGTAGAGTATGAGACATTAAGTGAAAGTTTTCTGAGATACATCTGCAATTGTCGGAAGGCAAAAATAAATAAATAAATAATGTATTTTCGAATGGGTTTGAATGGGTGGTTGTTGGTATGTGCAAGTATGCTCATCATATGGGTAGACTACATGAATCATATTTTCCCTCGATTCACTGGTGAAACTGGTGTAGCACGCGCGTCTAGAGGGAAAAAAAAGAACGACGTGCTGGAAGAAGAGGCTCAGCATATTTTTCTGAACATACCATGCCTCGCGCACATACACACGTGCTCGTCAAAGAAGCCCATCACAACATGCACCAATCCTTCCCGGTTCGGCGTGTGTTGCCTCTTCAGGGTCAGATGGAGCCGTTCGTTGTGGACTCGCGCCGCCTGTGCGCGTTCCGAGACTTTTTTTTTTTTCACTTCAAATCAGCGCTACCAGCAGCACTGGTGCCGTTTACTCCAACCCGCAGTCACGCAGAAGAGCCCCACTCTACCCTCCCCTCTTGCGGTACTTTGCCTTCGATTTTTAGTGCGAGAAGAGTTCAGCACTCTCTTCCCTCTGTGTGCACACGAACTAGCGCTATCCACTAGGCCAGGAGCGGAAGCGAGAGAAAACTCACCTTCCAAGAAAAACTCGCTTACGCCGGGATTCGAACCCCTGACCTGGCCTCTAGAAGGTTTCGAAGACCACAACTAGACCACAAGGGCGACCAGTGTGTCTGCTTGCACGTGGTCTGCGCGTTCGAAGTCTGCCTGCTGCCTGTCCTTTTTTCTGTTATGACCCCACTAATCCATCTCTATCTATGGAAGAGAAGAGTCGTAAAGATAAGCAATGGATTCATATCGTCAGAGGAAGCTACCTGTATTTCCACGGTTTTCCGAGCAGCACACAGCGATATCTCCCGTGTGGGTAACAGGCTCAACAACACAGCAGTTTGATGGCCGTCTTTGCATCTGTCTGTATGCTGGGAAGGTGGATTAATTCCCAACCATGCAATCTCCGGAGAAGCGCAGAGATTCTTTTCTTCCAGCCAAAATGCGGGTGAACTTTTCGGATAATGGGAAGGATTCATCCGAAACCTCCTTGAGGTAGCCGGCCGGCCCCAAACCTGTGCCCACCAGCCCACCTGCACACTTACTACATGAACGGCGGGTCAGATCGATTTCTTGCTCCACCTGCTCCTCCCGCCTTCACTCCCGCTCCAGCCACCCCCTTCACTTTCATTGCAGGCCAAGATCTTTTGGTATCCAGGTGAGTGCTTTCTCGGGCGTGGTACTTGCAAGAGGAGACTGAGAGGGGCAGATACCACGTTTTTCAACTTTTTATGTGGCTACCCTTCACTCTGCATGAAAATACGGTACACACTGCAGTGGCGGTTGATCCGTACCCCATGCAGCCGAATGCATGACTGTTCCTGCTGTGTATGCCAAAGGAAGGAATTTCATGAGTGTACAGTACGTGGAAGCAGCGGAGGCGACACCGAAGTAGATTGCAAGAGATCCTTGTTGTTACAAACGCTCAAGGTCTTTGACATTGATTGAGCTCAATCCTGCTTGCTTATCCGGCCTCTCGAGAGGCAGAACAAACGGTACGGAAAAAGTGCACCTCACAGCAGTGTACATGCATCTATCTGTTGGCAAGCGAAAGTCTATTGTCGCATGCGGTGATGCTGTCCTCTTTAGGCAGCGAGCAAGGGCAGCGAGCAAGGGGGTGAGAGTTCGAGAGCGAGGTGTGATGTATTCGCTGGAGCGCGGGCACCGCGGAACAGGGTGATGCATCCCTGCAGCAGTGGCTTGCGAGAACATCGCTAGAGAGGAACGGACCAGCGTCACCCATTGTTTTTCTTTGACCGTGATGCCAGACTCGATTCTTCTTTTCGCCAATACGCATCTACAAATGTACGTCAACCCCATCACAACGAAGGGAAGCAGCGAGAGCAATTTACATATACGCAGTGGACAGGAATGGAGGAATACACATTACTGGCTTGACATGCTGGCCACGAGAGTTGTAGTGTACGCACATTCAATCGCGTGCCTGAAGAAAAGATAGGAGGCGGACGAACAGTTCGACAGCGGAGCCTTACATGAACCGTCCGCAGCTTGCTGCACGCCTGTCGAGACCGTCGTCCCCTGATGCCTGCGAGGGAGGCACTTGACTGAAGCACGACAAAACAGCCGCAGAGTCACGGCGTGCTGCCGGTTGTAGCCGCGCGTCTCCTGTAGACTACAACCGATGCTGTGTTGCAGTTACAGCAGCCTTTACTTTGTGCTGTAAAAACAGATCTTGAAGACTGCTGGGACACGTCCGCAGCGTGCAGAAATTAGTTTCCCCGTTTCCCGATCTTGGATGGCGGCGTGAGTGTGTAGGAGGACATGTGTAATGGATTCTACATAACAAGCATGCAGCTCTTGCTGCAGTGGCCGAATGTTGCGCACAGCCTACAGCAGTAGATATGCATTATCATGTCTGACCCGCAAGAGCAGCAGCAGCAGCAGCAGCAGCAGCAGCAGCAGCAGCAGCAGCAGCAGGCACACCCAAGGATTAGAGAGCGACGTGGGATCGATAGTCGGTGACGACGGTCTGCAGGCTCACAAGCTGGGTCAGATCAGAAGGCTGTCTTATTGTCTTATTGCACCGGCTCTCTTTGACCTTTCCGCCCGATACAGGGCACCACAACCAACCTTGCCAATGTAGGTAGAGTGTTTGCCTCTTACGGAGAGCCCAAAGACAGCCCTGGTGAGCTTCGTTTGTTGCAGAGAAGAGTATGTGCAGTGTGTTTTGTGGCGTTGCCACAGAGGAGGTGCCTTCCTTCTGCTGGTCTGATGGTGTCCTACTCTTCGATAGAGATCAGAGATCGGAGACATGCGCTTAAACACTCGTCCACCTCTCATGTACAATCACCCCACACCCGCCCGGGTGCGGGAAGCTGCGTTTTCCCGTCATCGGGTTCCGCGGTTTACCCGGGCGGTCCAAGCCAAGAAAGAAAACAGCACAGGAAAAAAAGGACACCAGAATGTAAGGCGTGGGCTTGTGTGATGTATTTATGTATTGTACTTGATTTCCGCCTTACTACACAGCAGTCAAAAACTAGTGTTGAGACTATATACAAAGGATGGATGTGCATACATGTACTTCCCATGTTTTTTTGTTCGGTAGTTAAGTTAGGTGCTTCCTTATTGCGCTGCATACATGGGCGACATAATACAACGAACCCCCATTGAATACCGGTGTGTCGCTGTGTAACGGTGTGTCGCTGCATTCACTTGTTATAATATTTTCTGAGTATGCTCTCATGTTGGCCCGAAAAAACTGTTACCCCCGGATGCATGTGTGCGCAGGGGGCGTACCCTTGTTTTGAATGGCTCAGGTGTTACTCTACTTTGTAAACAACGCGTCCTCGAGAGGACGGACCATTGTTCCCTTGAGGACCGATTGCCGATGGCCAATAGTCCCTTCCTCCTTTGCCAAAGGTGACTCAACAACAGTTTCCAATTCAATCGTTATCCCACCGACATCACTTCACCCACCACGTCCTACACCATCCCTGGCTGTATTCCCTGCCTCAAACATTTCCTCTGTACCTTCCTTCGATTCCCCGGGTCACCCATCATCATGTACATTTCTCTCTCCCTGTCGTATATACATGACGGACATTCATTCTTCGACTGCATGAACCCGGTTTTCGCACTCGGAGCCGAATTCATTCACTTAATCAACTTTTCTACCTACTGACTGTAAATGTTCGGCTTCAAGTATTTTCTCGAAGACCGAAATTCCCCAGTCTCAAAAATGACCTTGAGCTTTGTCCCTCCTGCACCTATCCATCGCCCATGTAGGTACTCCTTGAACCCTATCTCTTCCGTCAACCCTTACGTTCACAACCGTGTGTGTGTGTGTGGGGGGGGGGGTTGTGTATCTCATGTTCGGGTGCGGGGGTATTTTGTATTTTCTTTTGCACGCAAGTCGATCGCTCTTTCAACCGGCTGACCAATGAAGGAGACGTCATCAGTCAGTTTGCAAACACCAAAAGCTTGCAAAGGCCAATCCTGGGACCATCCCGCGAGGGGGCTTCATGATGGTAGAGGCTTTGTGTGGGTGTGTGCAGGCGTATCTTTCAATCGGGCATACTTTTGTTTTTCCCAGGTCCCCGAGTAAGTTTTGACTCTCCTTCTCTGGAATTTCACTGGTCATCATTCATTCCGTTCCCCCGGCTCAGGCCAACGTTTTTCGTTTCACTTGGATTTAGAATACATTCATTCGCTTTGGCGGTCCGCCCATCCATGCGGTTCTTTTTCTGGTTCTCCCTCAAGGCCGCAGAGGGCAGAGATAAATATGAATTCAGAGCATGATACGTACGTTCGACGGAAAACTGCGCGACAATCCCATTCAAACGGCTTGCTCATGTCTGTCTTTTTTTGTCTATCATGCATACACCAGTGCTCGCTTTCTCTGGTGCTGCTGCACTCGCTGCTTTTCTCTTCACCTCGCACGCTATTGTGTTCGCTCCAATCAATTTCCCGCTCAACAGCAGTCAAACCCCATCAAATCACCTGGATACGCAGACAGCCCGAGCGCTCGCTGAGATCCTCCTCTCGTCAACCACAGAAGACGGGCAGGTGCGCGCGAAAGATTCGAAATCCGTTTTGTATGGGTTTTTTTCGATGCAGCACGCCTGCCGGCAGCAGAAAGAACCGGTTACGCCAGTCTGGCATTCCTACCGCCCGTCCCGGCGTTTTCACTCTCTGTCACGACATCCACTAGCTCCTCTCGTTTAGTTGCTGTGCAAACCGGTCTCTCAGCCTGTCTGTGCGTGTGGCGCGCTGGATTCCAATAATCGCGACAGCCACATAGACTACACGTAGCGAAGGGTCTGGGGATTGCCCGCCGGCCATGC